ACTGAGCGATTCTCACCGAATCACGAATGGCATCTTGACACGATGATTACCGTATTGCGTTTGGTTTGTGGTTTATGTTGTGCTGTATTACGTGGTATTACAGTTGGTGTACTCTCATTGTTTTTAGGCTGGTAATTATGTACCGGATGAAGTGGTTTCGTGTATGATCCAACTAATATCCTCTCATAGTGAGCTCCAACATTACGCCGCCATGCAACTGTTTCGAGCTGCTCAACTAGATTCAACGAATGCTCAGCCACTGCTTCAGGTGTGTCTTCGATCTCCCTTTATTTCCCTGGGGACCCACTATCATCCTGGTGAACAGAACTAGTCATAATCCCTGCAAGCGATTGGGTGTGTGACGCGGCGCGTATTATAGCGCGGCCAAGGCGGCTTATTCCAGCTGTGATACAATCCTGAGCCCGCTAGTGGACATTCTGTCCTGGCGGAGATGTACTTCCGAGACGAATGGAATGGCGGTGATATTTAGACCCCTCTCTCCCATAGCACAGCTACTATTTTACGAAATTTTTCCGAGACTGATGAGGGAGGGGGTCGTGAGCTGCCTGAAATAATAGTTTTTTTTGCGCTGTCAGCTTAAAATGGGGAATTAGCGCTAGTGAAAAGGGAGGGATCAGCTGCCACAAATTCCTCTCGTGCTTAAATGCGATCCTCTTGAAGAGACTCGCATAGAGATGACGTATGATCCATGCAATTCAACAAACTGAATTGCAGCGGTACTCCCTCCTCCGCCTTCAATTCAACTCTTACCCATATACGTAAGACTGTGGTACTTTTTTTCCTGTACTAGTATCACACGGAAATGCAAAGCAAAATCAATAGGTTTGTGCTGTCGGCTACCATTAGTCTGCCTTTTCCGTTTTCGAAACATCTTGTGAATGACATGCGCTGAATTATTTGTGAATTGCTGATTTGAGTTCCGAATTATTTGTACATTTTTTAGCTCATGAATAGGCAATTTCACTAGCTTTTGTTAGAATTTTGTCGACATGTAAAGAGAGATACAATAATATTAGCCCTATATCAGCCCTTCTTTTAATTATGCTATGATTTCATTTTAGACTCATTCCGCAATTATCTGGTGGGTGGAGTCCCTTTCGCATATATGCTGACCAAGTCCCGGTCGCACGTAGCTTTTCTTGTCTCCAATTGAAATTGTTCGCGCACATTATGCTGCGTGGGGGGAGTCCCTATTCGCCATATATGGTTGAGCAAGTCCCTGCCGGTCGCCACGGTAGCTTAGCTCTTGTCTCCAACTGAAATTGCGTGGTAAGGACGCCAGGAATGCGAAATGAGTCCGGCCCTGCCTTTACCCTGCTTCTTTGCATGATATACCAAAACGATGAATTTTTCCGCGGCTATCTGTCCTCTCCTCCTCGCACCTAGCATCCCTGCGTCTCTGTGCGTGTAACGGATGCCCTGATAATGCTGAGAATCCGCCGAGATTTATTCAGGACGTCCTAAGTTAAGGAATATGTTCTTGATCTGGCCCGGTTTCCGGTTTACTGTATGTATTGATGTGCTTCTTGGGAGCTTTTTACCGGAGCGCACCATGCCTTTTTTATGATTCTGATTAAGGTCGCATTCTGGACTATTGGTGAATTTGGTGATTTGCTCCTTCAGCCAGCTGATGCGGACTCGGCAAAGGTGAGATAGTCTAACCGACAAGCGAGAAACTCTTACTCTGCATTTTTTTCTAGATTTCTTATTTCTATTTTGAATGTGTAGCCTCTTTGATTCTTAAACATCTGCTTTCTCCGATTTTCCTTATCAATGCTTGTTTGAAGGTTGAAGAAAGTGACGTAGTGAGTGTGTTCGAAAATGTCCTTCCATCAACGTTAACGTCTTTATCCACGAAATGTTATGCGGTTACGGCTCTGGCAAAGTTGGCTACGAGGTGGTTCTTTTGTCTTTTCGTCAAGGGGGTGGGGGTCACTGATTCTCATATTTCTTCTAATGACTCCCAGTACCAAACTTTATGTTGTGGAATAATTCAGGTTCGGTTCAACGGTGGATCGTATATCTGCACTGGTTCGTGCTAATCAAGCTCATCTTCATCTAGAACTGCAACAGCGATCAGTCGAGTTTTCTCGGCTGTTGGATTGTGGCGATATCAAGTGAGGGGTTTTGCTTGAGAACGAACTGTACTCTCACCTCCGTAGGTCTTGGTTCTTGCTATGTGCGAGACGAATGAGTCCGCTGCAGTAGCGTGACCTTTTTTCGGTCAAAAATACTAGGCAATGGAGCCGTACGGTAACAGTACCCGAGTGTGGTCTCCACACTCCGCCCGCGTTATCGTCAATGTGCAGCTCTGCGTCGATTCCCAGGTTTAGCAGAAAAACTCTCACTCATTGTAGAGAACAAGCAGAATTGAGAGAGCGCAAACAAGTAGCGCGTTTAGCCATGGTCAGGCGTGTAGCTGACCGTGGTACGAACACAGCACCCGGTTATTACTACCATCGAGCCCTGTTCCCGTGCTCTTCTGACCAGAGGAAGCGACAGGCTACTGCAGCTATGGATCCATTC